GTAACACAATACATAAGCAATTTATTTTTAATAACATTATAGTTCATATATTTTGAAATATTTGAGAATAATGAAATGTTTAACTATTACATATAGAATAACAAACAAATTGATTAGAAATATATTATTTTTTTACAAATATATAAATATTAATATGCTTTTTGAATTAATAATTATTTTATTTACATTTAATTACATATTATACATATTATAATTATAACTACATATAAGTGTGTTATTATAAGCTAGATAATTCTATTATTTAATTGGAATCAAACAAAATAACAATTTTATTACTGGGGTGGTTTCCAAGCCTCGATTTTTGGTTTTACAGTAGTATAAGGCATGTAAGCATCTTTTGTACCAGATAAATTTGGTTTATGCTCGGCCATCCACCTATGTTTGGGTCTCGAGGGATCCTTATGGGGAACTAAATCTGTTTTATAATGTAACCAACCAAACCATTCTGGGGTTACTTGAGAACCATCATAGTCCATACCAAATTGGTCTGCATATACTACCCATCTGTTAGTACCTGAAACATAATATGTTATCTATATTAACAGAATTTATAACATAAATGCATAGATATTCCATTATGCTAAATAATGAAATCGTATTAATGTATGTTATTGTTTATCATTTCTCACTGTTCGAGAAAATTATATCTATTATACAAGAATTATTAGATTTCTACAGTAATTATGTTAAACTTGCAAATATCTATAGTAATGTATTTATAAAATATCTTACCATAGAAATATGAATTATTTTCATAATATTTGTTACCAAGCGAATCCACACCAACCAATGTTCCAGTTTTTATTGTATCCATTCTAAAATATTTAAAGTATAAATATAATCATTATAGAAACATTTTTATTTGTTTACGTTTAAACTGAACAGTATTTATTAATAACAACATTATTTATTAACAACCCCATTATCTGTTAGATTTATAAATGTAACAGTTAAATAACAGTAATTCGTAAATAATTCCTGTAAAAAGTTCACATAACTTGTAATGAAATAAATATTTAATACTATAATGACCTGTACAAAGTTCGTAGGGATTTGAAAGGACCCCCATTATCTCTCATTACTTGAAAGAATTTCACGATTTTATGTAAACCCAATTGCTTCGCCATCTTTGTTTCTGATCTATCAGAGAAATATGTGGATTATCCTTAAAAGAACTTTGGTTCGCTGAAAACAACCTTTATTCAAGCTTGAGAACTGTATTTAAGCATTCTCGGCGTACGCGGGAAAATTTGAACACTGACATTTGATAACTTCCATAAAATTATATTATTCGTTGTAATAATTAATAAATCATTAATATAAAATATCAGTATATTATTGATTATTTATTTAGAATGTAATTAAATATGTAATACTTTATTTCATCAAAACTGTCAAACCTAATTACTTTTCAATTATGAAATAACTTTAATTTGTTTACATTATTTATCACCAGAATCTATATAATTTTATTTATTACAATTTCCTAAATTCACAATATTAATATCTCTTTCCTTCTTTGCTTCTTATATTTTTCAGCATTTTAATAAAAAATTATAACTGATTGCTTATTCTTGTTATTTAGGTAAAATGGGTATATTCATTTTTTTATAATGTAATTAGTTATCATATTTTTGTTATATTTATTGCTTATATACTTTATTAAACTAAAATGTGAAAATATATACCATTATTTTACTTTCTTAAGTAGATATAAACGTTTGTATTTTAACAATTATGTTCTACAAACAATTTTGTCTAGCACTGTACTTGCATATAATGTATTCAATCATTTCACTTGATTATCAGTTTTACGTACATAAGGTCAGGGTTTTGCAATCACTAACGTAAATGTTAACGAATAAATTTTAATCTGATAAGAATAACCTTGGTTAAAAATATGTGGAAGATAGAAACGCATTTCTAAACATGCTCATTTCAAAAAGAAAGAATATATCTTTGTGATTAATATATATTTTTTCTATAATTTTGTATATAATTAAAAAGAAAATGAAACACTATCTTTGAACGTATTATCATCGATAAAGTTAATAGACAATGATAATATAAGTAGGTACAATCTTGAACAAACTTTTCTTAAATCTGCTAAATTCATTTAAAAAATTATAATTCGACAATATACATATTCATTTATATAACATAGAATGACACATTAAATTCAATTTAATAAAATTGATTCATAATAAGAACATTTTTTGGCGATTATATCAAAGAACTGAATTATTAGAGTATAAAAAATTAGAAATTCATATAATAGCAATGATAGAAAATTTAGATTCAAAACAAATAAAATCAAAAAGGAAACCGTCGTGTAATAGCTCCTCAGAGTCACATATAGAAAATAAAAATGCAGGAAGGGAAATAGCTGAGAAGAAAGCAGCGAAAACAGCTTCACAGAGAAAAAAAGAAAAAGAAATAGAAAATGTACAGAAAATGTTCGTTTCTAACCTCGATCCGTTTGAAAAGATTTTACATTGGTGGGAAACGGAATATGTAAAATACGCGTAAGTCATTACTAGAAGATTTGTGTACAAAATCGCATTCTTCCGAAATAACAAAAAATACAGGAGTTTCACAGAAATGTTGAAAAAATTATGCTAATATAAAGATTCGTGGACTTCTTTAAATAAATAAATTTATACAATTATAAAATCTTCGAAGTATCTATCAAATATGAAAGATAACGTTTATATCAATATTGTTTATTATTCCTCCTTTTTTATTGGAAATAAATTAGGAGGAATACTTGAATAACGTAATTTGTGTAGAAAATTTTTTAATTATAGTTATTAATTTTATACATATAACATTAAAGGATTTTTTTTCAAGCATTCCTTTTTCTTTACTATTGCAATTTCCAGAGGCGATGTCAATATTTAAGGATATTTTCATCTTCATAATGAACATAATTCCATAATGATAATTTTATTGTGCTTTAACGTTTCAAATATATATTTTTCTTTGTACAATACATTCTATAATGTCCTTCATAAAAGTACAAACATCGAGAAAATAGCATTGTAATATATTACTAGCAGTTGCAACTGTAAAATTGACTCGGTTTTACAGGATAAATTATCCACCAGTAAAATCGGCTCTACAGGAAATAATGGATTCTTACATTGTACGACTTACAGATCGTAAGTACATGCAATTACTGACTTCCAATACTATCAAATATCACGGAAAGCAACAAAAAATGCGTATCGACGAAAGGAAGCTGAAACCACCGTCGATTATATCTCGATTGATGGAAACGTCTTATAAAGCGCTTACTGAAACTATGAGACAAAAAAATTGTAACAAACTTAAGTTTTATTTGTAAACAATAAAATGCAATTTAAAGAATTGTTTATAACACATGGTAATGATTTAAGTGTATATATCTATAAATATATTTTATATTTATATATTTTATATAAAATAATATATATATTTTTTTTCAATCTTGTTTATTGAACCACATATTGAAGGATTAATATATATGATTTTTTTATAAATTCTAAAATGAAAAGGTAACAATTGCAAGTTAAATATATGTATAATAAGTAATACATTTTATCTTTTAATAAATTAATAAGTAAAGTAT